ATTACATAACATTACATAACATTACATAACATTACATAGCATTACATAGCATTACATAGCATCACATACCATTACATAGCATTACATAGCATTACATACATTACATAACATTACATAACATTACATAACATTACATACATTCAACATTACATAACATTACAGTAACATACCTAAAAAATACATCCATACATACTACAGACAAGGACAGACAGACAGGCAGGCAGGCAGGCAGACAGACAGACAGACATACGCACATACGCACATACGCACATACGCACATACGCACATACGCACATACGCACATACGCACATAGGCACATACGCACATACGCACACACACACACATATATATATATATATAAACGGAAAAAATATCGCATAAATACAGCGCCCAGGAAGGCTCTTAGCGGCATTTGATTTGTTTAAAGGTCTGAGGTCGTAAAGGGCTTGCCTTTACATACACCTCTCAACTCCACCCTTATACATTGTGCTTTAGTTGGTGCGGACGCATTTCACTACCACCTGTAAAGCTTGTCAAATTTGCATATCGTGCCAGCATTCTCATTGACGTCAGTGGTATATAAGTTATATAATTAAACATAAGTGCCATCTGCGATCTACATCTAGGTAAGTTGCTTCATGACAGCAGCAGTGTCTGTTTCCACGAGTTTCTGCCCTCTCCGGCTATGGTCTCGGATGCGAGGGTTTGAATGCCCAAAGGCAGCCGACGAGGTGCAAAGTTTTTCTTCAGCGACAGTGACAGTCATCGACAGTTGTTTTTGATATGTGTTTGATAATGTATATATACACATTTAGTTGATTGATGCTGATTGCATGTTATGCCGCCAAAACAGCGAGGTGCCAAACAGGCAGAGCGAGAGCTTCTTGAAACAAATGGGCTCCTCGATGGCAGATCGGCCAGTTCAGTTGCGTCAGCTAAAACGCCAAAGTTTTCATCCCTTTCCTAAGGTTGCTCCACTTGAGACAAAATTTTCTAGGGCATTCTATGATGTTGTAATATACTGTGCTATAATTCGGGAACCAGTTCTGCCCGGTGCAAAGACACGAACCAGACCCTGACTTTGGCTAGGCTCCTGGAAATATATAGCCGGACAAGTATATCAATTATTATAAATGAATAAGATAAATATTTACTTAGATATATGCCGATATGTGCCCATAAGCAACGTCCACCGAGGCGCCCGCTTCCACCAGATCCCAGGGAGCAGGAAGCAGAGGCCTGTCACAGGGCGCCAGGGGTTGTCATCCCGATCCTGTGCGTCTCATGTGCGGGGGATCCTATACCACCTACATCCACCTACTATTGACATCTATTGACTGATTGAGTGGTTGACTTCTTGGGATGCCAGGACCCAACACAACGACCCTGTCAATGCGAAGTTTGTGTACAGGCTGCGCTGGGTCTGCTCCTGTGAAGCCAGAACCCTTCCAAAAAAATCCTGGAACATAATTCTAGCTGTTGCACTTGCTATTACAAACAACATATTTTGATGATATCTTGATTGATATTTTGCGGGTCGACTATGGTCCAATCAGTGATGCTTTCCTGCAGCCATTCAGCCCAATGGAACTGGCTGTGAGACCCAGCACCTGCAGCGCTTCTGGCTGCCTTTGCGCGGGCCAACTGGGCCGACGTTTGGATCTGGTGGAAGCCAAGGTCTTGCCGCACAGCAGCAATGAGGATCCCAGATGGGGTAGGAAATGGCACATCTTCATTGGCACTCTGTACTAATTATCAGTATTAGTTGGAATACTTATGAACCACGAAGTCATGAACAATCACCGCGCTTTGAATCCGGTCTTAGAGGGCACTGCGTCCTTGCTTGTTCTACATCTCAGGTCACATTGGCATGAATTCTTGCTGTACAAGTCAGAAGCTCCTTGTCTCCATTTGTCATGTGGAGAGCTGATGTGGTGAGCAGTCCTCATCACACTCCAAAAGCATCCAAAACCAGCGGCTTTCAAGCAGTTTCTCCCAAGTTCCACCAAAAGGAAGACAATAATAGATGTCTTTCAATTGCAAGTGGCCCTTGTGGGCTTAGCGTGTATGATGCATTATGAATTGTGAATTATTCTGATACATCATCTCTCATCATCTGCCATTCTTGTTTCACCAATAATATGCACCAAGATGCACCACGCATCGCAGCAAGGCCCAACGGAAGTTCGAGGACCTGTTCGCTCGGCGCCGAGGGCGCTCCGTGAACGGTACAGAAGTGGATCGGCGCCTGGAGAAGTTGGAGGCGGGGCCAGATTCGAGTAAAATCGCATACAGTAAATCTAAAAAACATGACTTCACATGACATGTTGGTAGATATTTTGGAGGTGGCTTGTGTTTGTGTTGGTCACGGGTTCGCTCACGCATGCGTTTTGTAGGTTCGCTCACGCATGCGTTTTGGGTTCGCATACGCAGGCGTTTTGCTTCATATGTGGCGTTTGGCTATCTAGAAGCGCGCATAGCGGTGAGGTCGCACATGCATGCGTTCTCACATACATCATATCATCAAAGGAAGTTGGGAAGCAGTTACGGACAAATAGAATGGTGATGAAGGGTGGGTGAAACTTTACACTACATAACAATACATCACAAAAGAATTGACCTTGATGAAGGGTGGTATGTGGCGCATGCATGCGTTCTCACATGCATCATATCATATCATATCATATCATATCATATCTCACACGGAGATACATAGCACCGACACACAGCAACACAGAGACGCGACGCATACATACACACGTACCTACATTCATGCACACAGATGTATGTACATGAGTCGCTATGTAGCATACTTGCCTCATCTTGGCGTTAGGTTCGCGTGCGTGGCGCGCTAGAATCCCAGACAATAGTTCACTTGTACATTTGGAGAAAGGTGTCAGAGAACGGAGTAAAGAGAAAAGAAGGTCCGTTGTAGAAGACTTGGGCCGATGAGGGGGAAAAACGGAGCAGCAGAGAGAGAAGGAGCACAGAATGGAGCACAGCCAAGCTGACAAAGAGCCCTATGCAGAGGTCCGTTTTGGAGGATTTGGGGAGCTGAGCGGCCTAGACGAAGCACCCTAGAGAGACACCACATGGGGAGGTCCGTTTTGCCGGATTCGGGCAGCCCAGAGGGCAAAAACGGAGCACGAGACGCACTACCAAGGGCATAACAGCGGAGAAGGTTACCCTGCCCCACCCCGCCCCACCCAACCAAAGCCCGACCCCAGCTCAGTGCGTGTGTTTGCAAGCGAAAGTGAACGTTATTACCCCACCCCACCCCACCCCATGTTCATGGTGGTTGTGGGTTCATTAATGAAAACGCCTGTGTGTGTGACCCTACTTTCGCCTGTGTGTGTGAGTCAAAAACGCCTGTGTGTGTGAGTCAACTTTCGCCTATGTGGATGAGCCTAACACCTTTGTGCTTGCTTGTGGAGTCCTTGCATGTTTAACTAGTTGTTTGTTGTGCCTTGGTGATGCCTTGCAAAGCCAGGAGAGCCAAGCGGAGTGTTTTGATGTGAAGCTGGCAGAGGTCAGGTCCTGTTGCGAGGAGTCGCGTTTGGACCTGGAACGCCACTGGAATCGGCAAGCACAGGAGCCAACTGCACCCATCTTGGCATGACAGGGTTCAAAGAGTGTCATCCTTGGCAGGTCAGAAGTTTCGAACATATTATCAGTGAATCATGGCGTTCACAACATCACCCGGGTATAAGAATGGCATAAGAAGTGTAGTGTCTACATTTGTTATGCATAGTAATCAGTAATCATATATATATATATATGTAATCATATATATATATATATATATTGAGATGCATGGCATATGTAACATATGTAACATATGTAACATATGTAACATATGTAACATATGTAACATATGTAACATATGTACGTCTACACCTTTGCAGAGTCATAACACATAAAGCCACCGGAGGTCACCTTGCTCCAGGGGTTTCCCATCCCCGAGTTCGGTTCCCCGTAGCCCGCCGTCGCCGTCCCCAGCTGTCCACCAGGAGGTCCAGAACATCCAGGGCCGCAGCGAGCAGCGTCTGGAGCAGCGCCTGGAGCAACGGGGCGACCAACTGCAGAGCTTCTTCGCTGGACAGGTTGACCGTGGCCAATTTTTGGCGGAGAATTTCTAGGGAAATTTCTCGGGAAACAAATTGGCTAAGAATTCAGGTTCCGAATCTGAAGAGAATTTGTGGTGTCTCACTTTTGCACAACATGATATGAACTGTTTGTTGGATCTTTGAACTTTCGACATGTTTCTTTGTGGATCTTGACGGCCATGGGTTCCCAGTCGGTTCTGCCAGGTGGCCGAGTTGCACCGAGAGCTCCGGGACTCGGTGCAGGGCCAGGAGAAGCGACTGCGACAAGGCCGCAGCCTGCAGCACAGATGAAAAAGCACAGGGCTGTTTCCATTTTTCCAACGGGATTCAGGAATTCAGGGATGTGTATCCTCTGAACTAGATAGATAGATAGATAGATAGATAGATAGATAGATAGATATAATTAACTAGATGGTGTCGACACTTCATAGTTGCAAAATCTCTGATTTTCCAGTGAAGATTGCAGAAAGTGACATTTTTCAGCCCGGAACAGGCAACGATGAGATGCTTCGACTCACCGAATCCGTGACTCAGCAGGTGCCATGCTCCGCAGGGGAAGTTATGGGATCCACATGGATCCACTGCATTTGAGTCATTGGATTTGAACAGATACATTACACCACAGATATAGACACAGATACACACATACAATATATATATATAGATAATATGATTTAATGTAATATAATATAATATAAAATAATATAGTAAAATACAATATAATATGATTTAATACAATAAAATATAATATGATATAAAATAAAATAATATGATATGATATGATATAATATAATATATAATATAATATAATATATAATATCACGAAAGGTAGCCTAGGCTACCTGAGTTCTATGTACTTTAGTACTAGTTTAGTACTGGGGGAGGGGGCTGCT